TGGTCTCCTTGTACTCCAAGTTAGCCAAAGGTTATATGTGGAAGACCAAACAAATGACAGGCAACATCATACTGTTGACGTCAATATTTATGCATCTTTTAGTGTTTATGTGTCATTTTCATAACACTTTTATAACACCATTACTCATTATTCATATGTACCATTTTAAGGCTTGGATCCTCCAGCACTTCCCACGAATATCCGAATGGTCAATTCCGACCTACATTGAGGATATGCCACATGCTTCTGCATTCATCCCGCTCACACATGCGACAAAGCCATATGGAGTGCATCTTGACCGCATGGTAGCAGCGAATATACACTTCTATATGTACATCAATCACTATGAGACGCGTCCCTTTGACGACATAGTCTTCTACTCTGGATGGTTGGCTTACGATTCATGTCTGACGTATCTTCATATGTGTGAGCGTGTCAAGCGGTAGATCAACTACATTCACTTTACCTTTCAGATTTTGCTCCTCCTACTATGACACATAGAGATATGGATACCACGTTTGATTATTATCTTAATCATCTGGTATCAGATGGGGCTCAAAGTACCATAGCTCATAGCGATTGGAGTGTTGTACACGACTATAACAACTAGTTTTTAAATTAGAGTCGCCACTATTAGTTTTTATCATAGGGAAGGGCATCTAATAGGAAACCCTAATTCGCAGACAGAGATTCTAGGTTTCAAACTCAATTAGACGAAAGGAAGGTGTTAGGCACCTTTCATCTACCTTGTTCACAAGGATACTAGGTTCTAGGTTTAGATTCGGGGTAAACAGGATCTTAAGTTTTAATTAGAAAGACTCGCCACAATTTTTGATCGTATCCTCTTACGAGGAATCAGAGTCCCAATTCGTAGTTCGTATGGGGTTGGTGTTTTTTAGGGGTTTACAAACATATTTTGAATCACCTCGCACTCGGTCGAGAGTAGTGATTACATAGATTTTGACTGAATCCACAGTGAGTCAAAATCTGTTTGAAACCCTTTTGCAAAAAAACAGTTGATTAGTTTAGTTGATTGCGAAAAACAGTTTGAGATTGGTTAGTATTTTTTAAATATATTAACTGCGAAAATATCTTCATTAATGCATGACAAAAAATATATTAATGCAATAATAGAAAATAATGTTCATAAAAATAATTCATATATTAATATATAAATAATAATAATATTATTCATACAAGGGTAAGAAATAAATAATTTTACATAGCAAATGAAATATAATAATAATAAGTGGAAAATAAAATTTATAATAATAATAAGTTATAAATAATAATAAGAAATTAAGTAATTATAATAATATATAATAATAAAAAATATTAAAATATTATAATTATAAAAAATAGAAAATAAGTGATAATAGAAAGAAAAAAAGATTTAATTAAGTTAAACCTGGGGGTGCGATTTTGAACTAACAAGCAAATCAGGGAGGTGTCTTTAGGAGGTTGGATTACGTGGGCGAGGGTGTATGGAAAATAAGGTAGGACATGACCTATGACCGTCTGATCACGATCATGCGTAGGATAACGAGGGAGTATGATAATTATTGTGAGCCCGTGCGCATGGAATTGAAACAGATTACATTTTGTTTTTTATTCATTTACATTGTTTTGTTGTTACAGAAAACTCCACTTATTCATCTTCCTCTCTCTCATACACACAAACCCTTTCATTCTCTCTCTCTCACTTTAACCCTAATTTCCAAACCACCATCGGCGGCTCTCTACCAAAACCCCAACACGAATCCAACCCCCAAAACCCCCTAAATCCCAAAAATAACAAAAAATCAACCAAATAAAAACGCTAAGTCCAATTACCCTTTCGCGATTTCGCTTGCTCTCTGCCTTTGATTGTTCTGGATTTAGTATTGATCCCTGCTCTCCTTCGCTTTTGCAGGTTGCAATGGAGCTTGAAGGTGGTGCCGCGGCGGATCAACGGGGATTGTGGTTTCAGATAGTGAAACCTTAATTGTTCTTCTCTCGGATCTTCAACCAACAACAAGGTTATTTGCTCTTCGGTGTTCTTCATGCAAGCCCTTCTCCGTTCTTTTCTTTTTCGTCTTCTCTGTATCCTCCTATATTTTTGTTCTTTCTGCCAATATATATAAGGATATAAATTTAAGGCTTGTGAGAATTAGCATAGATTAGGGATTAGATTTGCTGTTAGAATTAATTTTAGGGATTGCTAATTGATTGAGAAAATATTGTAATTGATATAGTATTGATTGAAATTTGTACTGGTATTGTAATTGATTCTGTTGCTAGATTTGTTTTATAATGGAGATTGATTCTGTAATATTTTAATTGAAGATTTGATTTTGCAGAAGAATTAGATTTTTGTACTGTAATAGAGCTTGGATTCTGTTGCCAATTCACTGTAATAGAGATTGAGATTTGTAGAGATTTGGATTTGATTGATACTGATATTGTTTTACTGAGATTGGATTTACTTTAGTTTTTAGATTTGATTTTTTTAGTGAATTTTTAGACATTTTTTGATGAAAAATGCATAAAATAAATTAAATATTATTATTAAAAATTACCTAAAATAGAAAAACGAAAATAATATTTAAATAATAAAAAACATGATTTTTGGAAAGATTTGAATGTAATTTGAAATTAAAATGAAATTAACAAAAATAGAATAAAATAAATCATCAATCCAAATAATTAAAACCCAAAAAAAAATCAAATTTTTGGATTTATAATTATTGTAACCAATTACATTTATTCTCTCCTAAAACAAATATTACTACCTAAAATACAAAAGATAACAAAATACTTTTAAAATTTTTTGGTTATTTTTAGAATAAAAAGTGAAAAAAATAAAAATAACTATTTTTTAAAAATTCATTAATTAAAATTACGAAATTTAATATTTAAAAAATGATTTTTTTAAATACTCATGACCTTATGCTTTCAAGCTATGTTTCCTTACCAAGTGTGCTACGTTATTTGTTTGAAATAAGAAGCCAATTGAAAGTATATGAAGACGAGCAATTATTTGCTATTTTAAAAATACAAATAATTATTATATTTTTACACAGACTTGAAAACGGATATTTATTAAAAATCCCAAAATATTAATGCAATTAAACCAAATGAAAATAACTTTGACGGTAGCACTAAGGCGGACAAATTTGGGGTATGACAACGACTACATCCAATAGTATTTCAAGGTGTCACATTCTTATATGACACTAGATACTCTAGGAGATCCTCCTAGGCAAGCTCACCAGGAGATAATAGAGGAGGAGCGGACTGGGATCATGTTATTGATGTGTTGCCTAGATATTGCAATATCATGGGGATTGGCCACACGAGTATAGATAGATGAATCTTTCCAGATAACTCTGAGGTGAAAGACGTTCTAGATACCATGAGGGTGGAGGCACTGCAGTACATGAGACAATGTAGGAACAACGAACCCGAGTTCGTCATATGCAGTAATATATAATATTTGTATTAGGAGCATTATTTTTTGCTCTATTTTATTTTGACTTTATTGTGTACTCCAAATTTATTAATTTATATATGTCATTTTCATATTATTCAGAAAGTGTATGGTTTAATTTATACAAAATTAAAAATGATATTATAGTTATAATATCGTCAATTTAATCAGATCATCTCTAAGACAAAGTTAGAAATTACTGTTTGATGTGGTTTCAGAGATGCATCTTGAGATTCTATTTGATGTGAATATGAAAATGCATCTCCGAATCAGATAATATAAAAAAAGAACGTTTCATTGAATAGTACATGGGTGTACATGAAATAGTTTCGAAGAGCATATCTAAAATAAATGTTAGAAGAAATATGAGATAAGTGAGCATGATTTAGTGAGACACATAGTACATCCGAAGATGCATTTCAAAAATTAAAAAGATATTTTTTAAATTTTCATAAGAAATTTTTCAACAATTTATAATTGAGTTTGTTTTGAATTAAAATTTGGCTCCCACACTTACAATTTGGTTCCATCAAAATTAGTTATGATAAACTGACTTATGAATGATACCCTAAATTTATTTTACTGATTCTGTTTGTGAATAATAATTTTATTTATCTTTTAAAAGTAATTTTTATATATTAACATTATTTCTTTATAAATATTCATTCGACATATCATAATAAATATTCTCGTAATAAAAGTAAAATTAATTAAATTGAATGTATGTATAAAGAAAAATACAACTTCAATCTATATAAATTATATTATTATTTTTGTACAAATTATTTTATAACAATAATTTTTATTAAATAAAAAATGATAAAAATAAAAATTAAAGATCATTTTTAAATACTTAAATATTTTTAATTTCCTTTAAATAATAAAAATAGAGCAAGTATCTTCTTAAAAAAACAGAATCAATCATTAATATAAAAAAAAAAAAAAAAAAAAAACAGAATCAGCTAAAAAATATGAAAAAGGAATCACAAATTTGGGCCTAATTAAAACAACCTAATATTTAAACTTAACAAGTAGAAGAAGAAGAGTACAAAAAAAGGTAACAACTTTACGGCAGGAAAACATAGTACTTTGTTTGTTCCCACAGGTCTAACGTACGCATCTTCTCTCACTCTCCCCATGTTCTTGTTTTTTACTCTGTACTTTCTGTGTGTTCTGTTCTGTTTTGTTTGTTTTGTATATATATCTAACTGTTTCTTAGGCAAATTTACACTCTTTCTTTCTTCTCTTGATAATGTAAATTGGAGTTTGCATGCTGCATAACTGATTTTCTCTTTAAATTTGATTTTAATTTGAACCTAGAATTGAAATTTCTGGCTCTACAATTGATGTTACGTGAATGTATAGAAACCTAAATAATCAATTCAGTTTTAGACCTATAACATTCATGAATTGATCATATTGGTTGAATTTTAGTGTATGATTTCTTGACAGATAATCAGGTAGAACCACCCAGTTCAAATCCTACATACAGGTACCAGACTGCTCTAACTAATATACTATCAAGTGTTTTATGATGACTTGGATTGATAATATATACCAGAAGTTTGAGAATATGATCCAGGAGGTTGAAGATACAATGTTGGAGGTGTGCCTTTGTTGCTAGTTATACTCTTATCCTATCATGTGCTTCTCTGAGACGGTGTTGTCAAATAGCAGCTATAGCAAACCGGAATTTGAACAAATTGATTATGTTTTGTAATATGCTCTTTAGTACAATGTTTTGTCAAATAGAAGCTATAGTGACGTGACGTCTTATTTTTATATTAGTTGTTATGTTAGTATTTTTCGTTCATCAGGGTTTGAGTTTCTGATAACTCAGATGTGTTAGAACTCTTATTAGAACTTATAAATCTGCTTTTCAATTACGTTAGCATTCTGTTATAATCGTTTTCTTTTGTTTTTTCGACAATAGGACTTTCAATACCTAGAGAATCAAATGAGCATTGTTGGAGAATCTGTTAAGAAATTATGTTCAAATGCCATGGAGGATTTGATTCCTCCATCTACGACCTCTGCTCCTGTATTGCCTATAGGTCACTATGCTGGTATATCAGAAAATTCGCTTCAACGTACCAAGAAACTAAGCGGTACCAATCTCAATTCTTGCTATTATGTCGAAGCGGATAATTTGAAATCAGGTGCAAAACCAAATGTTGAAAGCGCCGATATTGAATCAAACGTTGGTAGCGATGTAAATCAACAGAATAAGGAAATGCCTGCATCTGAGACAGCTATTGAAGCCTCTGCTTCTGTAACAGATTGTTGCAATGAAACTGAAGATGCAAGTACGGACCAAAACTGCGGTGTTGAGGTTTTCGTTGAATCAGCTGAAGAGAAAGAGGAAAATATGAGCTCTTTCTCAAGTTACATATTTGAAGATGCTATTGGTTGGTACATAGTTTCATTTTGACTTCATGGTTGTTAATTTTTTGCTTTTGCTAATCAGTTAATCATTGCATTGCTTTTAATGTAGGGTTTTCCATGATCAAAGCTATGCAAAAAGATGACGATACGAAGCTTGACCAAACTTGTGTCCTTATTTCAAAAGACGAACTTCAGTTTGCTCCCAACGCAACGGTTAATCGGAAGACTAGTGAGGTACACACTCATCCCCCTCTCCATTTTTTAGTTCATGCTGTTAAACATGAAAGTGATTTTTTTTCTCTCTTTATTACTTGTGCTTGAAGAAAAAATGGCTGCAACCCTTTTCGTTGATTAAGAAATCTGCAAGGAGGCAAGAGTACAAAGAACTTGCAATTTTGCATGGGAAAAATGAAAATGGAAACAATGATTGCATCGAGAATATATGTCCAACTTTGCGGGAGGATATTTTTGAACGCGAGTGGGAACTTCTCTAAAATCCAATGACTAAGTTGTGGACTGAGACTAGCGCGTACAAGTAGCGTGCTTAAGTGTGCCACCAATTATAACTATTAGATATATCAAAATTTAAATTGTTTATTATATAATAACACATATCTAACTATTATAATTGGTGACGCACCGGTACAACATGTGATCCTTAGTCTCCGAGTAGAGTAGCTTACGTCGCTTGAACCTATTATATATGGTTTGTTAACATTTTTTTTCATTGACAAGGTACTTTCTGTTTGATTTCTAAAGTTTATAGACTGTTTTATATTTATCTTTGAAAATGCTTTATCATGGATAAGAATTGTACTAACTTGCAACCAACCACCTTTTCACAAATTCCTAAGTAAACATTGCTAAAAATAACAGTTCCATAAATATTTTTCTAACATGATATTTCCATTTGATATAGTCACATGAACAGGTTTAATAACATGCAAAGTTGTAAAAACATTAGTATTGTTAGTTACATGGTCAGTTATCCTAGTATCAATGATCTAGATAGTTGAAGTGATATTACCTAAAAATGAAATTTGATGAATTGAGGATGAAGTTGTAAAATGTGAAACATGATAAACAAAACGTTGTTGAGAAGAGTTAGCTGCGAGATTGGATTGGAAGGATCAATACGAGCTTGTTGCCTATGAGCGCAACCAACTCTTAGAAAAGCTAGTTGGCTTTCCATAAGGACGTGGAGGCCCATGGTGCTCCTTCTGAGCTGACTTCACAAGTTACTTTGAAGGGGTTTTTGGCTGAGAAAGAGAATGCCCTCGAAGATTTGGGAAATTTACTGACCAGTTCTGAAGAGGACAAGGTAACACTAACTTATCAAGTAGTGGAAGTTAAGGGTACATTGAAAAAGGAGAAGGATAAGGTGAAGGTGGAAAGAAGGTAAAGGCGTGCGGGGATAGCTTGGAGGGGACGAGGGAGGAATTTAAAGATTATGTTAGTAGTCGGTACTATAAAACGTGCAAACAACAACGTTAAAATTATCACGGTTCTTTCAACGGCGTGACGACATTTTTAAACTCAGGCGCGCTTTTTTTAAATTAAAAATTGTTAAGATATAATAACAGGTGATGATCTAACCGTTGTGATACAATCAAACTTTCATGGGTTTGAACCTCTACTCTTTTAAATATTTTATTCATTTAACGTTAATGCGCGTTTTTTATTTTTAAATAAAAAAAAATAGATATAACAATGATGGTTTGCCTCAACCGTTGTTAGATAGTTTAACTTCCGTTACAGTGGATTTGTTCCACTGTGGTTAAAGGTTTAATTGATAAATTAAAACAAGTTTTATTCTGCATTTCTTTCATAAGGTGTCTTAGGTGAACAAGCGAACCAGAGACGACAACGGTAGTGTAGTCTGTATTCATTCATCTTGAACTCAAATCTTCACCCTCTTCGATAATTTGAATAGTAAATCTTCAACATCTTCATTCTTGTTCTCGTCCTCATCTTCGAAGTACGATACTCTTCATCTTCGGTTTTCATTCCTTTTTTACGTTGCGTCATATTTCATTTATGTTTTTTTTTCTTCTGTTGCTTCATATTTCTTCTTGTTTCTATTTTCATATGCTTTAGGATATTATTTTGCTGTAAATATTTTATGCATATACTCTTAAGGTTTAGAGTTATATTTTTGTTATGAATATGCTTTAATTTTTAATTTTGGTTTAGATTTTGGTGATTCATTCACATTATCATTCGTGTATAAATTTCAGAAGTTCTTATGGATCGTAGTTGAATGAAAGCCAATAGATTAGATTCGATTTATGAGAATGAAGTTCTTGAATTTCTTGAGTGCGCTGATAAAAATATTCACGACAAGAATGGTATTTTTTATCGTCCTTGTATTAATTGTGGGAATATCCATAATGGTACAAGGATGAAATATTCCATCACGTATGTGTTGTTGGTATATGTCAAAATTATACAATATGGACGTGGCATGGTGAATGGATAAAGTGGGAAGTCAGACGTCAAAAAGTCAAAGAGTGGATGAAGATGAATATATGGATGATCGAATAGAGTATATGTTCCGTGATATTGGAGAATCTTCTTTTAAGAATGCTCATATTTATGATAACTTATATAGTGATAAAGACACACCTTTATATAAGGGATAAACAAGTTTTACACGATTTCCTGCGGTGTTAAAGTTGTTTAATCTGAAGGCAAAAAGTAGATGGTCGGATAAAAGTTTCACAAAATTACTTGATTTGCTAAAGCAAATGTTACTAGAAGATAACAATTTGTCGGATTGTTGTTATGAGGCTAAAAAGATATTGTGTCCAATGAGTTTGGAGTATATAAAAATCATTGTATGTCCTAATGATTGCATATTATACAAGAAATAGTATGAAGACTTGTATCAATGTCCAAAATATGGTGTGTCGTATTACAAGCTGAAGACCAATAATGGTGAAGACAATAACTATGATAATGTTAGTATGAAGCATTCTCCCCTGCTAAAGTGTTATGGTACTTGCCAATAATTTCATGATTTAATAGATTTTTTGCTAATTTGAATGACGCAAAGAATATTAGATGACATGCATATGAAAGGAAACATGATGGAAAAATTCTCCATGTAGCTGATTCATTGCAATGGAAGAAAATTAATTCTTTGTTTTCAGATTTTGGAATTGATCCAAGAAACCTTAGGCTTGGGCTTGCCACTGATGGAATGAACCCCTTTGATAATCTGAGCACTAATCATTCTTCGTGGACTGTTCTTCTCACTATTTATAATCTATCTCCTTGGTTGTACATGAAGTACAAGTATATGTTGTTAAATATGATGATTTCTGGACTACGACAACCTAGTAATGACATGTATGTTTTTATCTAAGTCCATTAATTGAAGATGTACAAATTTTAGGGGATGAAGACGTTGAAGTTGATGATGCATATTATGGGGAAAAGTTTAAGATGTGTGCAATGTTACTTTGCACAATCAACGACTTTCCTGCTTATGGTGATTTGGCTGGATATAGTATCAAATGACTTAAATCGTATCCTATATGTGAATCTAATACTTGTTATCACAAACTTGAGTTTGAAAAAAAAGGCTGTTTACCTTGGAAATAAAAAATTTCTAAAACCCAATCATTCTTAGTGTAGATTACAAAAGTATTTTAATAGAGAGCTAGAGTTTGACATGGCTTCTAAATCTTTAACTGGGGATGAAGTTTATCAACGACGAGAAGAAATTAATGTTGTCTTTGGAAAGAGAGAAAAAGAAAAAGGACCAATTGAGAAATATATGGAAAAAGAGCTATGTTTTCTTTGATCTTCCATATTGGTCAAGTCTTGATGTTAGACATTGTCTTGATGTGATGCACGTGGAGAAAAATGTGTGTGATAGTTTGATTGGAACACCTCTAAACATTCCAGGCAAGAATAAAGTTAGCAAGACGTCCCGTCTCGATATAGAAGCAATGGGTATACCAAAACAGTTGGCTCCAATAGAGAGAGGAAAAAGAACTTATCTGTCTCTAGCATGTCACACTCTATCTAAAAAGGAAAATAAAATTTTCTGCGAGTGTTTGCATGGTATCAAAGTCTCTCAAGGTTACTCATCAAACATCAAGAAACTTATATCAATGAAATATCTCAAGTTAATTGGTTTAAAATCTCATGATTGTCATGTATTGATGCAATAACTTCTACCAGTGGCTATACATGGAATCCTACCAAAAAATGTGAGAGTAATTATAACTAGATTGTGCTTATTCTTCAATTCCATATGTATTAAAGTTTTGGATTTCAAAAAATTAGATGAATTAGAAGATGAGGCTGCCATAATCTTGTATCAATTAGAGATGTATTTTCCTCCATCATTTTTTGACACTATGGTTCACTTGTTCATCTAGTCAGAGAAATCAGATTTTGTAGTCTAGTTTATTTAAGGTGGATGTATCCAATAGAGTGATATATGAATATCTTTAAAGGATATACGAAGAATCATCACCGACCGAAAATATCATTTGTTGAAAGATACATCATAAAAGAAGCTGTTGAGTTGCATACAAACTATTTTTGGAAGCAGATTCTATAGGAATTCCAAAGTCTCGTCATGTTAACACAGAAGGAAGGTGTATTCAAGGTCTATATGTTGTTCCAATGGCTCGCGATGTATTTATGCAAGCACTTTTCTATATATTGAATAATATTGATGAAGTTTAACCTTACATAAATACTAATAAAAAACTTATGAAGAAAAAATATCTCTGAATGAGTGACAAGTTGTTGTTGATAGAGCATAACAAGAGGCTCGTAGATTGGTTTAATAAAAGGGTATCTAAAGATCTTAGTGTATCTGAGATACTTAAATGATTGTTGTACGAGCCAAAATTTAATGTCATAACTTGGACTGCATGCGGCATTGGTCATTATATCTTTTAAACAAAGTTAAAATATGACCGTAGTACAATGCGAAATAGTGGAGTTATGGTTGAATTTGAATCGATGTATTTCTCTAGTTCGAAAGATAAGAATCATGTATTGGTAACTACCGCGTTCTATGGCGTCATTGAGGAGATTTGGGAGATTGACTATATTATTTTTAAAGTGCCTTTATTTAAATGCAAGTGGATTCCCAATAGTAGTAGTGGTGTAAACATTGATGACTTAGGATTCACCTGTGTAGACCCTGGAAAGACATCTTTTATGACCGAACCATTCATCACGGCTTCTCAAGAAAAACAAGTTTTCTATGTGACCGGCTCTTCAAACATATCAGGGAAATGGTCAATCGTTCTCCAAGGAAAACACATTCCTCTTAGTGATGAAATTCTTGATATTCCATCCACTCCTTACACAACACAAGTTCCTACCTAATATGATGAAGTTGATGAAGTTGATGTGCATGCTATTCGAATCGATCATGAAGAAGGCATATGGGAAAATTAACAAGTATTTTATTCTTTACTCATAATGTATATTAATTATATTTTATAATTTCTATGTATTTTTA